ATTTATGAACCATGAAAAAGGGCTAAGAGCCCCTCATTGTTTGTTATAAAAATACAATTATTCATTTATTCCTCTCACCTTCCACAGTTATCCAATTGCTATAAATCTATATCACAACACCAATATCACCTGATTAGCCCTTTTCCTAACAGGTCTCCTGCAATAATCCTCCTTACACACCACGGGATTGACATCTTAGAGGCATCTTGCTAGAAGCCATGTTCTATGCCATGGGTCATGGCCATGCAGTGAGCTATCTCCATTCTACATCGCTGACTTCTCAGCTCTTCCAGAACCTTTCATACCACATTCTAGGTTAAGTTAGAGATAAGAGTTTCCCGGCATAAGAAACATTAATAAGATATGAATTATTTTCCCTCTGTGTATGATTGGAAAGATTATGCTCAAAAGAATCTGAGTGGTTTATTTGATTCATTCATGGAGTTGTTTGTTACTGAATAACAATTCTTAGCAAAAAAATTTAAAAATCTGGCACACACACGACGTTGTCTTTTCTTTGGATCCACCTGGCTTCTACTTGCAAATGTAATGTGGTTTTAGAAGAATATCTTAAAGCAGCTGTATTTGCTTCTCCCACTAGGACCCACACTGTAGGAGTGGAGAAATAATGATGATTAGTCTGCTCCCATAAACCTTTAGATCACTGGAAGAGAAATTAGAGATGGTTGGTAATAGGTTTTGTCTTTTCTTAATTTTTCAAAGATTTTATTTCTTTCATGTGAAAATAAACTTGTATTTGTACATAGCTGATATAAAGATTTCATCCAGTCATATATGAAAACCTAATACAGTTCCTGTTACTAGTAACCTAATAGGGACAAGAAGACGGGCCTGGCTTTTCCCCTACATCTAAGACCTTATCTATTAAAAATTGGACAAAGGCATACATCCTTATCTCCATTCTAGCATAAAAATGCAATTCTTCCTACAGTCCAGGTAAACCTGGACCTGGGCTACACTTCAAGGCTCGATCTATAACAGGAAGATACTTCCTAACCCACGGGGCAGAATTCTACTTTGGATCTCTGTGTCTTGAAGATTTGCATCATGAAACGTACTTAACATTTCTAGAAAGTTGTCAGTGCAGAACTCTCAACTCTTTACTGACAACAAAGAGCCTTTTTTTTTAATCTAGAGTAAATTGGAAAGGAAAGCAAAATTGGCATTATCATACCATGTCCACTCGGGTGAAATAAAGAAAATTAGATGAAGTAATGAGCCTTTGGACTAAGCTTGGGACAGCCTTGCTTTTCAGTAACAGAGATGGAAAACACAAAGGAAGGGCGGCACCTTCTCCCAGTTCTCCAGGGAGGCTCCCATTGGAGAGCTAGAGAGCTCCTTCCATTGGAGCTATTTTGTTATCAGTTCTCTCTGACTGGAAACTTGATACCTGATGCAGAATGCCTGCTATTGGATTTTCATGTTATTTGCATCCAGTCAGAAGAATCTATTGATTCTAGTTCTAAACTGAGTACCTCTGTGGTCTCTGGCCCCCTTTTTTAATTGGATGTTTTATTTATTTACATTTCAGATGTCATCCCCTTTCCTCATTTTCCCCCCATAGAAACTCCTATCTCATCCCCTCTCCTTCTTTTTGCTTTTATACCAGTTTAATCACATGCAAGTATTAAGGTCAGTTCTAGGTTGAGGAACTAGCAATAAAATAGATGAAAATAGTCAAGAAGAAGCAAGACAATAAACACAAATAGTCAAAGAACAAGCAAGGCACTAAACACAATTCTGTGAACACTCCCATAATCACTGTTTCTAAAGGCTTATCAGGATGACCAAAATATCTGAGCCTACTTCCCTGTCCTAGCCCAAAGTCATTTTCATGTCTGAAGCCTACTTCCTTGTTTAAGCCTAAAATTTAGATTCCTGCCTGAACTTCTTTCTTTGTTCTAGCCTAAGATTTAGGTTTCTGCTTGAAATTACATCTTTGTTCTATCCTAATATCAGATTCCTGCCTGAAGCTCACTTCTTTGTCCCCTTTTGAGAGCTGCTGGGTACTACATCAGTCACACCAATGACTTACTGCATTAAACTGACAGCCTTGTAAATCTCTCCCTGGGAGAAATGGAAGTGAGCAGTATTTTACAGTAAAGACATTGCTCCACCATGAGGCGGTCCTTCAAAGGGAACAAAACCTGTGTGTTTTACCTAGATTGCTGAAGGAACCTTGTCATTTTGCTGTATTCCCATGGAGAAGGCATGCTGCTATGGATACCTCTGCATGTGGAGGTGTAAGCACTCACTATCCTAACTTTGGCTCAGTATCCTTTAAGAATGCCTGATTCAGGTCCAGTGGATGTTAGTTTTCTTCTTTCCACCTATGGGTTTCTCCATTTCTGTGTGTTAGGAAAGAGACTATAGATGAAAAGAAGCAAGGGCATTCACTGCAGCTTGACTTTCTCTTCACTTTTATTATTCTCAGTTTTAAAAAAGATGGGGAGCAAAGGAATGTAATAGAGGTTGCCTAGCATAAGATTGCAGTAAGGAAACAGCCCAATGCTGATTCGTCCTGTCTTTGCCTTCGCAGGCATCATGACCTACCCCACCCCCACCATGTTAACTGCATCTGTTTATTCTTCTATTGGACAAATGCATTGTCATTATAACTGGCAGCAGATTTGGCCCTCTACCTCAGCCTGGTCCACCAGCCCGGTAATGCATGAGCCAGCATGAGTATTTATCTCAAGGTGACACATGTAATTGCTGACTGCTGCACTTCTTAATCCCTTTATGCAATCCTTCCTGCTTTGCTTGCAGTTGTTGGCAGGGCTTTAGCAGCAATAAAAATGGTTCCTTTCCCAAGACAGAGTTCATTCAATTTAAAGCTGGATTGATTATAGCAAAACTTATGACATGTTTTTACAAAGGAAGAAAAAACAGTAATAAATTATGCACAGTGATTATTTAGCATTTATTGAGTCCCTACAGTGTCCTGGACTCAGCATATAACAGGAATAAAGCTCTGCCCTTGAGATTTAAAGCACAGCTGCCTATATGAAAAGGCACTCGGCAGCACACCAATCCAGACGCCATTTAACTCCCATTCAAGGGTCACCTGGCCATATGGCCATTCTCTCTTACTCTTGGAGAAGTTTTCTGACTGTATGGAGTTAATGGATTCTTGGCCCAGATCTGTGACTTCTCTTACATTTCTTTCTCTCAGAAACAGTCTGCTATCATCCTTGGCTTTTGATCTGTGCTGCAGGAATTCCTCCTTCCTGCATTCTCAGTTTTGAGTTCAGACTGAGACATTTGCAGGAGCTAGCATGCAGGTGCGGGTGGCATTGCCTGCTTGACATCTGTGGCATTTCTGAGGTGGCTGGTGCACAGGGTAGGGAGCTAAGTGTGGGTGGCAGGATTTTCTTTTAGCTGGGGATGCAGTAAGTGACTTGGGTGTACATCAATCAGAAAATTTAGACATAGATTTTGAGAATACTCTTTAAACTGTAACTTATGCAATAATTATACAAATAAGTGATTATGATCGTCTTAGTTTCTTTTCCATTGCTTCAATGACTAGAGTACCTCAACGCAAGCCCCTTAGGAAAGAAGGCTGTGTTTTGGCTCACTGCTTGGAGTTACAGTCTATCCTTGTGCAGAAGTCACGGCTGTAGGAGCTTAAGGGGGCAGCTGCTCACACTGCGTCCACAGACAGAATGAACAAGCAGTGACTGCTAATGCTCACGTCACATTTTATTTTATGCTGTCTGGGATCCCTGTTCAAGGAGTAATTCCACCCACATTTAAGATGGGTATTACCTTATCAATTAACCCTCCACGTGGGCCTAGAAACCTGTCTGCTGCCAACACTAACCAGCGCAAGGACTTAGATTTGAAAGTTTAGCATAACAGTCTTAATTCCTATTAATCCTCATTTAGTATGCTCCTTAATAATCATTATATAGAGAAATGCTCAAAAGAGAGAAATGGGGGAGAAAAACTGGCATTTTCTTGTTTTAACCATTGACTTTTAAAGGGGAGAAACATAAAAGTGGAGGAACTCAAGTGAATTAAAATAAAGAATATTAGCCAGCATTCATCACATAACAGGTTCAGTCTATTCAACCTTTTAAATATTTAAATGTTTTCCAGGAGGAAGGAGAGGCTGTGAGTGGTTAAACAAATTTCTCCAGAAAGGAAACAGGCATAAAATAAAGCCACATCCTCACTGAAATAAGACACTACTGCCACCTAGGATTCAGTGCACATGCATGCACTTGCTCTCCCCGCCTGGGACACATGCACACAGGCAATCTTGGTTGTCCTACAGTAGCATTCTCACTAGTGCTTCGATTGGCTTTGGGATTAAAATAAAAATTAAAACCTGTTTCTTCATACCGCTTATTTGTAAATACTTCAGTGCCAGAAATCATTAGATAACGTTGCAGCAACTCTCTTACTGTTACCTGTATATAACTCAAAGTATATTTAAGCAATGGCTGGGACTTAGAATGTTTGGAACCACAAAGCAACTGAGGCTGTTAATTTATTCTTTAAGATAAATATAAAAGCAATTATTTACAGTTGCCAACCGTTTTGTTTTCTTATCTCTCAGCCATTTTGTATTTGCTTGTTCTTTTCACATCGTGTTTTAAGGTGCCATGGCAAGGCCTGGTGGCACTCTGAAGTGTGTGTGTGTGTGTGTGTGTGTGTGTGTGTTGGGGGGGATCAGAAGTTCAATGTTTATAGCAAGTATAGCTCAAGCCTAGACTATGTGAAACCTGTCTCAAAAACATTATGCATGTACAAGTTGTAGGATTTGAACCAAGATTCAAATTTCAGCTAACGATTTGTTGTTATTTGAAGGTCATGTAGAATCAAAAGAAAAATTGGATCTTTCCAACCATAGTGCTCCATAGTAAGATACCAGGGACAAATTTAACCCCCACTTGAGGGCTTGTCTCAGATCAGAATCTTTGCTTATTGTCATCTCTGCTCATGCACTGCTTGTGTGTATTTTTCTACAGTGGACCTGGACAGGCTCAATGATGACGTCAAACGTTACAGTTGCACTCCCAGAAATCACTCAGTGAATCTCAGAGAGGAGCTGAAGCTGACCAATGCAGTCTTCTTCCCACGCTGCCTACTCGTACAGCGCTGTGGTGGCAACTGCGGTTGCGGAACTGTCAACTGGAAGTCCTGCACATGCAGCTCAGGGAAGACAGTGAAGAAGTATCATGAGGTACAGCATCAGCAATGTCAGGCCAGTGCATGTATGCAGTTATCCCTTCTGCATCATCTATCCCATCCACATCCATCTATTCTATCTGCATCATCTATGCCAGTCTGTGGAGACCTGGTAGATGGTGCTACTTAACATGGTTGGTCAATGGGCTAGAAAGATGGTTCAGTGGATAAGAGCACTTGCTGGCCACAAACTCAGAAAGAGCAGAGGAAATTGTATTTTTCTAATTGTACACTCTGTGTTGAAGAGGAATAGGAGGAATCCTAGAAAAGAACATGAATCAGAAAACCTACAAAACTAAAAAAAATATCAATTACTTATTTAGTAGAATTTATTCATTTATTTGTGTGTATGTATGAGTGTTTTATGTGCCTGAGTACATCTACATGTAGATGATAGAGGAGGACCTCTGGTGTCCTCTGCCTTATTATCTTGAATTAAGATCTCTCACTGAACATGGGGCTGGGCTGTCAGTCTATGAGTCCCAATGATTCCCCGCACCTCTACCTGTTACAGAAATGAGGCTGAGTTCCCAGCCCATACATGGTGGCTCACAGCTGCCCCTTTACACTAGTCCCATAGGATCCAATGCCCCTTTTGGCTCCCACAGGCACTGCACACACCTGATGCACATACATACATGCAGGCAAAATGCTAATATACATAAGACAAAAATAATGAAATCTGTACAAGGAAATATTATTGCTTAATTGTTTACCCAGGCAAATGTGTTGTTGGGAGCTAAAATTCTACCAAGATAATTCACAATGGCTAATTGCATCCTAAAGAAGGGAATCCTGGTTTCACAGTACAGTGAACCATAGTGTGTAGACTATATAACTGCCTGTAAGATAAAGTGCTGGTCTGTGTACCAGACATGATCTGCAGATATCTCTAGCCTGGTGGGAACAGTCAAATGAAGGGGAGAGGGGGAACATGAGCAGGGAGGAATGTAGCCACACCTGCTTCTCTGGTGCCCGTGCTGCTCCAGCTGCTACCTCTACTGCTCCAGGAGGCTGTGCTGTGCAGAGCTGAGCTGGCAGGGGGATCAGTTAGCAAGCAAGGTGTAGAGGAGCTTTCTAGCCTAAAAAGCTTCAGGAGAGCATTCTCTTCCCTAGGAAGTGTTACAGCTTTTAAAATGACAGATGTTCTCAGGTGATGGAGTAATTCTTACACATCTTTATTCCTTCTTATAAGAATATATATATATATATATATATATATATATATATATATATATATATATATATATTTCGAGGTGGATTAGAGCATGATAGCAGATGCTTTCTATTGGCTTGGTGTAAGATGTTAGGGATAACTCATCAGCATGTGGAAGGGTCTGGGATCACTGCACCTATGTGACTGATGATCACTATCTTCTCCATGGGTTGCTGTGGTCATGTGATAGCAGCTTTTTGGAAGCAGGTGAAGCTTCTACCATCCCTTTCCAGGTTCCAGGGCTTCCAACCTTACCAGATTTTCAATAAAGATGGTTTAGAGAATCTTCATTCAACTTGTAGAGAAATCTGATGTTTACAGGATATAGCTGTGAGATCTAGGTGATCGAAAGAAAATACTAAGAGCTAAACTTAAATTCAGTTTAATCACTTTTTTAAAAAAAAATCAAAACCTAAAAATGTAAACTGTCAGAGAACTTTTCATTCCATAAATGTTGACGTAGTCTGTGTTTGTTTTCCTTGAAATGCTTATTATTCCTAAATAGCATTCACCACTACCTGGAAATTTAGCTCTTGGACTGTGAAGGAAGTGAACAAAAGTAAATGTAAAGATCAGGATCGGGGGAAACAAATTAAAAGAGTGAGCGATGTTTGTAACAGTGAGAACACAGCTGCCCAAGCGCTGGAGCAGCCAATGCTGTGAGAACACAGTCGTTCACTGAGCAGACTGCGAGCCACTCAATGAGCACACTGCAAGCCACTGCAAGCCATGTCTGCAGGAAGGCTTTTCTCCTGTATTCAAAGATATTAAACCAAGGCTGCAGACTCAGGAAGAGGTGAAGAATCCATGGAAATGTGTTTAAACATATGCACTGGCATGTGAAGCAGATGCAGCTTCAGGTGCTAAGGAGAAGGTTTTATGAACAGTTGTGCTTGGTGGATGACCATGGGGGACCCAACAAAACAAAGGAATGAATAGACAGTCTCTCAAAGCAGGACTCTGGATTTTGAATAGCAGGTTTTAAACTGGGCATGATGGGTTAAGTTTGTAATCTCAGCCTTTAAGGGGGCAGAAGCAGGAGAATTCCTACAGATTACAGGTCAGTCTAGGCTATATAATAAGTTCCAAGCTAACTTCAACTGCAGAATGAGACCTTGCCCAAGATAGACAGACAGACAGACAGACAGACAGACAGACAGAACATAGATACATAGATACATAGATACATAGATGGATAATAGACAATTAAAATATTAGTTTGGGGTAGGTGCTTTTGATTTCATGTTGTTGCTGCTGCTGCTGCAGCACATCAACACTGACGTGCACCTCTCACAACAGTGGCCAAGTTCAACTTAAGAGAAGCAGAACTTACCATTTTACACCCACAAAGAATGTATTTTCTTAATCATGAGAGTAGTTGACTCCACCTGCTGCTTTCAAAGGAAACATCGATTCTGTTCTCCTATCAGCAGAGTGCTGTTTCCCCTCCTCATTGTGTTTTATTTTTGTGTGAATTGATGAATTCCAGATTGGAGGTTGTCCTTCAGTCTCAAAGTGTCAGCTCTGTGCTGCTTTCCAAAAAGGATAACTGTGGAACTCTGTAACTGGTGGGAGTTAAAGTAGTCTAGGACGTGACAAGACCTACTGCAGAAACTGTGAACGAGAATGTGCAAGTCTAAACAAGAATGTGCAGGTCTAAACAAGAATGTGCAAGTCTAAACAAGAATGTGCAGGTCTAAACAAGAATGTGCAAGTCTAAACAAGAATGTGCAGGTCTCGGCTTTGATGTATTTGTGGACTGCTTTCCTTTCATCTGGACTCTGAGGGAAGAGATTTTAGCTTGATTTTTTTTTTCATATTCCTTATTTGTGGAAACTCCCAATAACAGTGTTGCATTGCAGAGAGTTGGTTCTGAACAATCTGAAAGATCCAGACACCATTCTTTCCCTGGTTTCTCTGCACACTACAACAGTCTCTGTTCACTACAACAGTCTGTACACTACAATAGTCATCCCTGAACTGCTTTTCACAATTCATAGAGAAAAAGGGGAGCTCTTGATCCCTTCCTTTGGTTGTGAGTTATAAAACAGCACTCTATTGAAAGTACAGTGTTCTATATGAAATACCCCTGCCCAGCACAGGATAAAAGCACCCAACAACATCAATCACTCCATCAGCAATGGCATGAAACAAACATGCCTGTCAACTCCCCTACCAAACTCCTATAATACCTGGAAATGTGTCCTGATGGTCACTGTCAGGTGCTCAGTGGAGAACAGCAGACACTTTCTTTCATTTCCAGAAGCAGGCACAGTCTGAGCTTCATCTCATTAGGAGAAAAATCAAAGTTCTGTGCCCATATTCTTACCTCTGCTAGATTCAAGACAGTGTCCCTAGTACATGCTTGCAGTCGATGAGATGTGAAATGAGTTGCTATGAGAGATGATGACCTTAAGTGAAGGGATCCAGCCCATCTGCAGACACCAACCCAGACACTGTTGCTGTTGCCAAGAAGCACTTGCTGACAGGAGTTTGGTATAGCTGTCTCCTGAGAGCTCTGCCAGAGCCTGACCAATACAGATGTGGATGCTCACAGCCAACCATTTGACTGGGCACAGGGACCCTAATGGAGGAATTAGAGGAAGGAATGAAGGAGCTGAAGGGGTTTGCAACCCCATAGGAAGAACAACTATATCAACCAACCAAACCACCTAGAGTTCCCAGAGATTAAACCACCAACCAAAGAGTACACATGGAGAGACCCATGGCTCCAGCTGCACATGTAGTAGAGGATGGCCTTATCTTGCATCAATGGGAGGGGAGGCCCTTGGTCCTGTGGGGGCTCAATGCTCCAGCATAGGGGAATGCTAGGGTGTTGAAGCAGGAGTGAGTGGGTGGGTGGGGATGAAGTACCCTCACAGAAGAGCAGGAGCAAGGGGGATGGGAAAGGGGATTTGTGGAGGGAAAACTGGGAAGGGGAATAACATTTGAAATGTAAATAAATAAAATAACCAATTAAAATAAAAAGAATCAGTCACATAGTGAGCTTGCAAACTTCTCCACAAGTATCTCAGTGCTCAATACTCAGAGATAAGAATGTACATAATTAAAGAGCTCTGTATGACACCAACATTGTCACTGTTTGCATAAGGCAGAATACTTCTCTTGTAGCGGGGTGAGCACTCTTCCGAGCAGGACAATGTTATTTTCTGCTTTCAAACTCCAGATGCTAAGGAGATGGGTTAATGGATGATAGCACATGATGTGCAATCCTGAGGATCTGAGTTCAAATCCCTGGCACCCACATAGAACCTGGGTGAGACCACGTATGTCTGTAACTCTATCTCTGTGACAAGCAGAAATGCAGGGTGTGGGGAATTACTGGGACTTGTCATCTACCAACCCAGCTCCATGTTCAGAGAGAGAGAGACCCTGGCTCAAGATAATACGGCAGAAAGTATAAACCAGGACACCAGAGGTCCTCCTTTATCATCTACATGTAGATGTATACAGGCACACATAACACATACATAGACACACACACACACACACACACACAAATAAATAAATAAATAAATAGATAAATAAATAAATAAATAAATAAGTAAATAAATGGTAATAATTTTTTTAAGTTTTATAAGCTTCTGATTCATGTTCTTTCCTAGCATCCCTCATAGTCATCTTTGAACACAGTGTAAAATTAGAAGAGAATAATTCCCTCTACTCTTCTGAGTTTGTGGCTGATGCTTCCCAAATAAGATAGAGTGATAACAGAAATGCATATAGATTTGAGATGCTTCATATGACACAGGACCCAT